CAGCAGACCAGGGCAGGTGGTAATTCTACAGATGGGGGTTCTCGGGGCAAGGGCAGACCAGGGCAGGTGGTATCAGGGCGAGGGCAGGTGGTAAGTCTACAGATGGGGGTTCTCGGGGCCAGGGCAGGTGGTATTCTATAGATGGGGGTTCTTGGGATGAGGGCAGATGGGGAAGGTGTAAATTCTATACATAGGGTTCTCAGGGCGAGGGCAGATCAGGACAGGTGGTAACTCTGTAGATGGGGTTTTTCCAATGAGGGAAGATCCGGGCCGTTGGCAGGTGATAATTCTGTAGGTGAGGATTCTCATGATAAGGGCAGATTGGGGCAGGTGGTAATTCCATAGATGGGCTCTCAGGGCGAAGGCAGATCCGGGCAGCTGGTAACTCTGTAGATGGGGGTTTTCACGGTAAGGCAGTAGGGGCAGCTGCGAACACTGGGCTGGGGGCCTGGTTCCAAGGGTGGGAGCCTCCTGGCTCTCTGTGCCCTTGGGTGAAAGTGGCAGATGTGGCACTCTACCCTGCGCAGGGTTATCGGGCCGCGTGTGATGGGTGATCATTCCCCACTCCTGCGCAGGAACTCCTTGGACAAGGCTGCGTGTTCCAGGAGCGGCACGGCTGGGAGCGGCCAGGATGGTTTCACTCCCGAGGCCCAGCTCCGGTGAGTAGCACCTGCTGGGCTGTGCTGCTGGGAGGCCTGTCCCGTCAACCCCCTGGCCCTCCATGTGCCCTGCCTCCCCAAGTGGCTGCACTGTTGTGATCAGGCCCAGGGAACCAGGTTAGTTCTTTTGCCCATGTGAAGCCGAGCCCGCCGACCTGCCCCCAAGGCTTGGCGCTTCCTTTATGAGGTTCACGCAGGCCCCACTCCCCGTCCGCCTCGGCCAGGCCTTCCATGGCCCAAGTGAGAAGGGCCGTGGGCAGAGCAGAAGGGGTGTCCCGTGGTGGAGAGACCGAAAGAAGACTCCCCCAGGCTGCAGGAGGAATGGAGCATCTTCTCCTAATTCTGTGCATCTATTTCTGGCCACTCTGTTGGTTTCTGTCCGTAGTGGGGTGGGAGTGGGAGGGTCTGTGTACCCAGGGTGCTCGGTTTCCCAGTGGAGGTTTCACGGTGTCCTGGACTCTGGGCATCCTCTGGGGCTTCCCAGGGACCTGGGTTCTCAGAGAGAGGAGCAGAGGCCGTTCTGCTGTGACACCTGCGACCCAGGCCCTCAGGAGCAGGCGACTCAAGGCTTTAAGGCCAGCCAAGGGGTAGCATTTGATCCAGATTTACAGAAATCAAAATCCCTTTCTTGGAGCTGCATCTCACCAGTCCTCTCTGTTCCACCCACATTCCCTCCTCATGGCAACCCACAGCCCAGGACAGGCTCTGGAGCTCCAGGGCGTCGGGGGTAGAGACGGGGGCTGGAGCTGGCTAATGGGCCTCGGCTGTGGGGTCGGCATCCTCCGAGCCTCGCCGATCATCGTCTCTTCTCCTGCTGGGCCCTAGGGACATGCAGTCCTCATGAACCCTGCAGGGAGGAGGGGTCCTGCAGACCCTGCCTTAAGGCACCGCCCACTGTGCTCCAGTCACATCTGGCTCTGGAAGCCCCTCTCCCCTGCCCCTAGGCAAGGAGACAAGAGCGAGAGTCAGGAACACACCCCCGGTCCCAAGACAGGCAGATTTTGCACCCTACCCGGGAGCCCACCTAGGAGTCCAGGACACCTTGGCAGGGCTGCAGCAGGTGTGATGTCCCTGCTGGGGAGGGAGGGGACTCCACACGGAGATGCCAGCGAAGCCTGACTCCATTATAACCTCACACTTGGCTCCCACCTGTGTATGAAGAGGAGGTGAGGATTGCTGGGTGGGGCTGGCGGCTCTGGGAGGTGAGAATTGCCCGCACCTTCATTCACAGCTGTGCCGTGCCAGCAGTTAGGAGGGCAGGTGGGGGGTTGTCTGCAGGAGCAGAGGCCAGGGAGGGGCATTGGACTGTGTGTGGGGTGTCTGAGAGGGGGGGCAGATCCCAGGGAGGCCAAGGCGATGGCAGAGAAGCTAGACTCTGGATCCCACATGCCTGCCTGGCTCTGTGCCACTGCCCCATCCGGGACTGGTCTGTGCCCTTGGGCGAGATGGAACTTCTCTGTGCCTCAGTTTCCTCATCTGTAGAAAGGGCACCCCTGTTAGGAGTGTAAGGCGCTTCCCACAGGGCCTGGCCCAGAGCAGGAGCAGGGCCTGGGGTTGCCTGGGCACTGGGAGCAGCCTGGCTGAGGTCCTGGGCAGCCGCCTCGCCCTGCCGTTCCCCACCTTGGGTGCAAATGCTACTCCTCCAGCCTCCCGGGCCCTGGCCAGGCTCTCAGACCCACCAGGCGATGCTGCGGCCTGCTCTGTGCCGCTGTTTGCCTGGACCTCTCGGGAGCCCCTGCCCGTGTGCACAACACACTCACACTCACGGCTGGGGCTTCCCGAGGGCAGAGCCAGGCCTGACTCCTGCATCACAGCCTCAGCGGGACCCTGCTCTGGGGAGGGAAGCGGGGAGGGACAAGGGAGGGAGGCTGAGGACCACGTCTTGTCTTCCCAGGTCCTTGCATATGACTACTACGGGGCTTACGGGAGCCACGCGCACCGGGACTACGCCTACCGCCGGCTGCTGGGGGCTGAGTACACCTTCGACTTCCCGCCCCACCACGACTCGGTGCGTAGCTGCTCCCCACTGTGGTGGGGGGTGTCCCTCTCCCTGTCCCTCGGATGAACCTCCCATTGGGTCGGCCCTCAGCGGGCCCTGCAGGGGCTCCCCTCCCCGAGGAGTCTCTTCGGGCTCTGCATTCATGCTCTTTTTTCGGTGGACTCCATTTGGAGGAGGCATCATGTGTTTTCTTCTCCCCCCTCCTCCCTCTGTACTGAGATGGTACCAGCAGCCGGGCCTGCACGGAAGTGGTGCTGCTGGGGACGGGGTGAGGTGGGGGCTGAGGCGATGGGCCTCCCCCTCCTGCTCTCCGGAGCTGCTCCGAGGCTGGCATGAGACATGCTGGGGGAAGGGGCACCTCATTCTGGAAGCCATGGCAGAGCAGATCCAGGACAAGGTGGCTGGAGGCTCCTGGGCATCAGGCCCTGTATGGGCCCTTCCAAGGGACAAGCAGAGGGAACCAGAGCCGGGAGGGCCGTGGCCTGGAGCCTGCCTGCTGTTCCTCTTACTTCAAAGTGGGCAGGTGAGGCTGGTCACACGGGACACCTGGCAGCCCCAGGACCTGGCTCCCACGTGCAGGGGGTGGAGGTGAGGAGTCTTGGGGGCCTCTCCCCAGCAGAGGCCTGTTCCACACAGGGGCATGTCCCAGGCAGCTGTCCTGGAGGGAGTGAGGCCAGTGTCTGCCCCGGCCTGCCCAGCCGTGTTGTAAAGCGCTCATAGGTGGAGCACAGCTGTTGCCACCCCAGGGAGATGTGTGACATCTCACTGTGAACCTGACATAGCAGCAGCGCAGAGCCGAGGCCTGAGCCTGGGGTCTCAGAGCCCAGGGACAGCTTAGGAAGCATCCACGAAGGGGTTCCTTCCTGGGGCCTCCGGGACAGTCTCAAGCCCGGCTTCAGTGGGGTCTGACCCTGAGGCCACCCAGCACTCCTTGCCTCAAATGGCCTGGCTTGGACTCCTGTTCTGTTCTCACCGCCTTGAACCACTTCACGGTCTTTGAACAAGGGCCCCCTGGGTCCCGCGCTGGGTTCTGTAGCAGGTCCTGAAGGGAGGAAACCGTTCCTCTCCACCCTCTCCCCCAAAGCTTGCTCTAGTGGCAGAGCATCTGTTGGAGGCGTCGGAAGAGGGGCTCCTGCAGGAAGGAGGAGGCGTGTGTGCCATGCAGCGCCTGAGCAGCAGGGCCGGCGTGGTGCCTGAGTCCCTCGTGGCTGCCTCCCGGGGAGAGCTCGGGGCTCTGTCTGGCACCTCCGCACCCACAGCTTCTAAAGCCGGTGGGACTCTGGCCCTCGAGGATGTGGGAGCTCGGGGGAGATGCCAACTTGGCTTTGTGGCTTCATCCGGCCTCCGCAAACACGCCTGAAGCCATCCTAAAGCACAAAACATGTGCTTGTTCCCGGTGCTGGCAGCTTCCTGGGCCCAGCTAGAGGAGCCCCGTGCAGGAGGCTGCTGAGGGTTTTGGTTGGCAGCCCCGGTGGTGTCAGCAAAGGTACAGCGGAGACCGGCAGAGGGGTACCCTGTCCTGCTGCCTGGTGGGGCTGGAGAAGCCGTGGAGGGCTCAGGAGGTGGATGGTCCTGGCGGTGTGCTGATAACAGCCTAACAACCAGCTCTCTGGGGAGGAGGGGAGGAAGCTGGCTCTGCAGCATCGGCCAATTTCTCTGATGTCAATACTTTCTCCATGGCTGATTTCCATCCAGTCCGCCGATGAGGCATCACTGAATGTGGAGCTGGGCAGGGATCTGCGTGACCAGCTCCCAGGGTCAGTGCACCCCTGCGCAGCCTGGCTGGACTGTAGCTCTGCCACGGCCCAGCTGTGCCACCATCCCTGGCCTCCCTGAGTACATGAGGGGTGATATGAGTTCCCTCGTGGAAACTCATAGGGAGTCTGGGAGGAGATGAATCCGCCTCCCGACGCACGGCAACTGTTGGGGAAGCGGTGGTTGCTGCTGCCGTGGTTACTTTCTTCCTGTAATGATCATGAGGTGGGCACATCTGCTCAGCAGTGGGCGGTATGCCGGGACCTGCAGGAGGAGATCAACTCGAAAATACAGTGAAGAAGGCGAGACCCTGAAAACCTTGCCCAGGCATTTGTACACTGTGGGGAAGGAAATAGGGAGTGATTTTTTTTTTAAACAGCTTTATTGAGATCTAATTCATATAATATATAAATATTCATTTACAGGGTACAACTCGATGTTTTTAGTGAGTTCACAGGGTTGTGCAATCATCACCATGATCGAGTTCCCAGCAAAAGACACCCCATACCCACTAGCTCTCACCCCAGGCCCCACCCTATCCTCAGCCCACGGCACCCCTACTCTGCTTTCTCTCTCTGTGGATGTATCTAGTTTGGACATTTCGCACAAGTAGAATCATAAAATTAGGTGTCGTTTTGTGATTAACTTCTCTCGCTTAGCGTGACATTCTCAAGGTGCACCCATGTGGTAGCGTGGGTCATGTGTCAACACTTCATTCCTGTTTTTTTTTTTTTTGAGACAGAGCCTCACTCTGTCACTCAGGCCGGAGTGCAGGGGTACCATCTTGGCTCACTGCACCCTCTGCCTCCCAGGTTCAAGCGATTCTTCTGTCTCAGCCACCCGAGTAGTTGGGATTACAGGCACACGCCAGCACGCCCAGCTAATTTTTATATTTTTAGTAGAGTCGGGGTTTTGCTATATTGGCTAAGCCGGTCTCGAACTCCTGACCTCAGGTGATCCACCCACCTCAGCCTCCCAAAGTGCTGGGATTACAGACGTGAGCCACCGCACCCGGCCTCTTCATTTCTTTTGATCTCAATCGTGTTCCATTGTAGGGACCCACCATATTTTACTTATCCGTTGATCAGTTGGTGGACATTGGAGTTGTTTTCACTTTTGAACTCTTATGAACAGTGATGCTGTGAACATCCATGTACCAGGTGTTGTATGCATGTATGTTTTCATTCCTCATGGGTGTGTAGGTAGGCCTGGGTCAGTGGTAGCTCTGTTTCATATTTTGAGGGAATGCCAACTGTCCTCCAAAGTGACTGTGCCATGTGACATTCCCCACCACAGTGCTACAGGGTTCCAGTGTCTCTGCATCCTCACCAACACTTCTTCTTATCTGAATTTTTTTTTTTTTTTTTTTTTTTTGTTGCCCAGGCCGGAGTGCAGTGGTGCAATCTGGGCTCACTGCAACCTCCGCCTCCCAGGTTCAGGCAATTCTCCTGCCTCAGCCTCCCAAGTAGCTGGGACTACAGACATGCACCACCACGCCCAGCTGATTTTTGTATTTTTAGCAGAGATGGTGTTTCATCATGTTGGCCAGGATGGTCTCAATCTCCTGACCTCATAACCCTCCTGCCTTGGCCTCCCAAAGTGCTGGGATTACACGCGTGAGCCACCACGCCCCGTCACTATCTGACTGTTTGATTCCAGCCTTCCAAGTTGGTGGGAAATGGCATCCCATCGTGGTTCGGATTTGCATTTCTGTAACAACTGATGGTGTTGGCACATTTTCATGTGCCTGTTGTCCACTTGCGTGTATTCTGTGGGGAAATGTCTGTTCAGACCCTTTGTCCCTTTTAAAATTGGGTTGTCTTTTTATTATTGAGTTGTAAAAGTTTTAAAATACAGTTTAGATCCAAGTCCCTTATCAGATCCGCGGTCTGCACACGCGTTTCCCTATCCTGTGGTTGTCATTTCGCCGCCTTGATGGTATCGTCTGCAGCCCAGGTTTTCAAATTTTAACGCTGCCCAATTCATCTCTCTGTTTTTCTTTTGTCACTTGTGTTTTTGGTGTCATGTCTAAGAACCTAACCCAAGGTAAAAAAAAAAAAAAACCAAAACATTTATGTTTCCTTCTAAGAGGTTTATAGTCTTCGCTCCTACACTTAGGTCTAGGAGCCATGAAAATTAATTTTTGTGCATGGCATGAGGATGGGTCCAGCCACATTCTTCTGCATGTGGCTACCCGGTTGGCCCACCACCATTTGTTGAAAAGTTTGCTTTCCCCATGGAATTGTCTTGGCACCCTTGTCGAAAATCAATTGACTGTACAGATGAGGGCTTATTTCTGGACTTTTCAGTTCTATTCCGTTGGTCTGTAGGTCTGTTCTTGTTTGTACCTCACTGCCTTGATTATGTAGCTTTGAATTTTAATAGCAAGTTTGGAATCAAGAAGCGTGAATTCTGCAACTCTGTTTTCCCTTTTCAATATTGTTTTGAGCGTTCTTGGCCCCTTTGAATCTCCATACGAATTTTAGGATTGGCTAGTCAACTTCTGCAAAGAAAGCAGCTGAGAATTTTGAAAGGAACTGTGTTAGGTCTGTAGATCAATTTCTGGTGTATTGTCCTTTCAACAATAGTAAGTCTTTCGTTTCATGAACATGGGATGTCTTTCCACGTATTTTGGTCTTCTTTCATTTCCTTCAAAAAAATATCGATTTTAGAATATAAGGTTTGGACTTTTAAATTAAATTTACTCCTCAGCATTTTATTGATGATACTATCAATATAATTTTTAAAAATTTCCTTTTGAGATTGTTCATTGCTAAATAGTTTTTTTTTGTTTGTGTTTTTGTACATGACCTTGTATCCTGTAACCTTGTTGAACTATTTTATTGGTTCTAACAGGTTTTTTTTTTTTTGGGGGGGGGGATTCCTTAGGATTTCCTATATACAAGATCCTGCTATTGGCAAATAGGGATGTTTTTACTTTTTCTTCTTCTTCTTCTTCATCCTTGATCTGGATGCTGTTTATTTTTCTTTTCCTGCCTAATTGCCCTGGCTAGGGCCTCCACTACAGTGTTGAATAGAGTGGCAAGAATGGACCCCTCCGTCTTGTTCCCGGTCTTTCATCATGAAATATAATGTTTGCTATGTGATTTTTGTAGGTGTCCTTCATCGGGTGGGGGAAGTTCCCTTGTATTCCTAGTTTGTTGTGTGTTTTTACCATGAACGGGTGGATTTTGTCAAATACTTTCCTGTATCTATTGGAGGATCAGATGGTTTTTGGCCTTTGTTCTCTTAAAATGTTGCATTACAGCAATTGATGTTTGAACGTTAAACCAACCTCACGTTCCTGGGATAAATCCCATTGACCATGGTGTGTGATTTCTTTCTTATGTTGCTGGATTTGATTTGCTAGTTTAATTTCCAGTTATTTGTGAATTTTCCAATTTTTCTTCTGCTACTGATCTCTAATTTAATTACATTGTGGTCAAAGAACACGCTTTGTATGATCTCACCCTTTTTGAATGTATTGACCCTTGCATTGTGGCCTAGCACAGCATCTATCCTGGGGAACATTCCCTGTGCTGAGAAGCATGTGTCACAGTGTGTACCTGAGCTGGGAAGGGCTTGGTGGGGGCTGGAAGGGAGGGAGAGGAGGCTCAGCGCAGGTGTGTTGGAAAGAGCCCCCATTCTCCACGTTCTCGAGGGGGAAGCACACCCCAAAGGCCCCCATGGCATTCCCACCTCCTTCCTGGAACTTTTCAGATCAAGAAGGAGTGTCTGGCCTGCAGAGGGGCTGCTGCTGTGTTTGACATGTCCTACTTCGGGAAGTTCTACCTGGTGGGGCTGGATGCAAGGGAGGCTGCCGACTGGCTCTTCACCGCAGACGTCAGCCGACCCCCAGGTATGGGGCCTGGGGTGGGGGGCATGTTCCTGTCACTCCATGAGTACAGCCTCAGGCACTGAGACGAGCTGGCACCACCCCATCCCCTCGGGCACCCTGAGCACACTTCTCCTTGCCCTCCCCTGGCCTCGGGCCCCTCTGTCCGGCCTCCTTTGCCCCATCCCAGGACCCAGGCCCTAGGACCTCACCGCTTTCCTCCTCCTCTCCCTCCCGCCTTCCTTCTCCTTCCCACTCCTGCCTTCCTCTCTATTCCAGAAAGGATGTGTGGTAGCTAGCCCTCAGCCACCTCTCTCCTGGGACTGAGGGGCCCAGTACCCCTCATACTCTCACAGGTGGGGTTGCCAGAACTAGATAGAAACATAGGATGCTCAGCTACATTTGAGTTTTGGATACATAATGGCTCATTTTTAACATAAGTATGTCCCATTAACAAATATGGCTTGTCCCAAATATGGGATATATTTGGCTTGGGACATACTTGGATCTTCATCTGCTTTTTTGTCACCCACTCACCCAAAAGCACAGGCATCACCATCTTCATGAGTGTCCCGGGCTGCCAGAACAGAGTATCACAAACCTGGTGGCTTAAACAACAGCAATTTATTGTCACGGTTTCAGAAGCAGGAGGTCAAAATGAGGGTGTCTTCAGCTGATGCTCTGCAGAGGACCTTCCCTTGCTCTTCCAGCTGCTGATGGTGGTCGGGAGCCTAGGCCTTCCTAGGCATGCAGCTGTGTCACTGCAGTCTCTGCCTGTTGTCACATGGCTTTCTCCAGGTGTTCTCTCTCTTCTTTTGTTTTTTTGAGTCAGAGTCTCACTCTGTCGGTCAGGCTGGAGTGCAGTGGCGCTCTCTCGGCTCACCACAAACTCCGCCTCCTGCGTGCAAGTGATTCTTCTGCCTCCGCTTCCTGAGTAGCTGGGATTGCAGGTGCATGCCACCACGCCCAGCTAATGTTTATATTTTTAGTAGAGACGGGGTTTTACCATGTTGGCCAGGCTGGTCTCAAACTCCTGACCTCAAGTGATCCTCCCACCTCGGCCTTCCAAAGAGCTGGGATTACAGGCGTGAGCCACCACACCCAGCTGTGTTATCTTCTTATAAGGACAGCAGTGAGATCAGGTGGGGGCCCACACTAATGGGCTCACTCTAACCTGATCACATCTGCAAAGATCCATTTCCAAATAGATCATGGTCCCAGTCCTGGGATGAAGACTTTCACGTATCTTTTTGGGGGTTACAATTCAACCCCGATATCATCTCTCCAGCCAGCCAACCAGCAAACCCGCTCTCCAGACTCCCAGGCACCTGCTGCTCACCTCCCATCAATCCCGCTGCCCACTCCGGCTTCCATCCACCCACCCACCAGCCCACACATTCCTGTTGCTCCATACATCTGTTCCCCCTTCTACTCACCCACTCCCATCCTCCCATCCATCTGCCCACCTTCCCATCTGTCCAGCCATCCTCCATCCACTAAGTAATCTATGCCACAGGCATTTCTGGAGTCTTCTGTGGTCCCAGGCACAGTGCTGGGAGCCCCAAAATGAATGTGCGGGTGGCATGAATCCTGTCTCTAGAAACTTCTCGGCATGGTGGTGGGTAGGCGGGTGGGATGGAATGGGAGCGGCCAGTGCCAAGGCCTTTCAGGAAGAAAGAAGCTTTCCTCCCGCAAGGGTGGCGGTGATGGGACGGCCTGCCCGTGGCTAGTCCTCTCTGGGTCATCCAGCTGAAATGGCATCCCTGGGCTGAGCGGCTCTCCAGGTCATCTCCCAGGACGGCATCCTGCTGGGGGTTATCCAGCCTCTGCACGAGGAGCTGCCCGTGTGAGCGGCCCGCAGGCCCTGGGGCAGCACAGACCCAGCTTCCTCCCCTTCCCACAGGCTCCACCGTGTACACGTGCATGCTCAACCAGCGTGGGGGCACCGAGAGTGACCTGACCGTCAGCCGTCTGGCACCCGGCCCCCAGGCCTCGCTGCTGGCCCCTGCCTTTGAAGGTATGGATGCCTCTGTGCGTACGGTGCTGTGACTGTGGCCTGCTCAGTGGACCGGCGGTTGAGGACAGGGTAGGATGGACGGGATGGGCTGCCGACGGCAGCTCTGTCATTAGCTGTTGTGGCCGCTGTGGTCAGGGCTGGGAGATTAGAGGTCTTGTTTCAAGCTAAATTCGGGCTTTGTTCAGGCAGCACTGCTGGAGCTCCAGCCCTCAGTGATCACGTCTTTGAACCTGTCCACAGTGCTGCATTTCGGAGTGGCCGCCATGTGGGCGTGCTCAGCTTGGCTGCCTGGAACAGAGCGTGCCAACGACAGGCCGTGCCTCCCACTCAGAGCAGTCAGCTTCCTTCTGCCACTGACATCCTGGCTGGGTTGGAGTCTCAGTCCCCCAGTCTGAGGCCTGGGCCTGCCCTTAGAAGATGTGCAGCTCAGGGCCCACCCTGACACCTGACTGCCCTTGCAGTCCCTCTGTGAATGCGTGCGTGCCCTCAGCAACAGCTGGCTCAGTACCCTCATGCTACACAAAGCTGGAACCTGCCTCCTGTCCCTTCAGCCTGGTCCTGTTCCTGGGTTCACAAAGGAGCCATCTGATCTCTACTCCTGTAACCCATCCCCCCAGGGATAAAGGAGCAGAGACGGAAGCATTCTCTTTCTCCGGGAAGGGGCATTGCTGCCTCTGGAACGGGGCTTGCACAGGGGAAGGTGCTGGCCATGCAGCTCTCTGTGCTGACCCCGGGGGCAGGGGCACAGCCAGTGGGAAGGGCTCAGCCCATTCAGAAAACCTGGCACCTCCTTGCTCTTGGCCTGACTCCATGCTGCTGACAGATGTAGTTGTTTCCTCACTCGGTCACTGTCCCCCGGGGGTCCAGCTCGGGCATTGGGGGAGAGAGGCAAGGGGAGAAAGGGGGCCCATTCATGATCCGCGCAGAACCGGCACCTGCAGCAGCAGTCCTGGGGCACCAACTGTGTGTCAGGCTCAGCACGAGGCAGCTAGGACCCGGCAATGAACGGAACACAGACGTCCCCACCCACGTGGAGGTGACACCTCGGGGAGGAACGAGGATTGAAAAAACTGAAATAAGTGGTAGAGGCAGGGTGTGAGACGGGTCAGGAAGAAAAACGAAGACTGGAAGGGGTGGGATATTGGGGGCCAGGGTGGAAAGACAGGTTACTAACTGCCTAGGGCGTCCTTGAGGCTGGGGGCTGGCAGGGACTCCAGGGCCTCCGGGGTGCTGCCGAAAACAGGGAGTACTGAGGTGAGCCCAGCAGCTTTGAGGCTGGGTCAGAGATGAGGCAATGAGTGTGAGTGAGGGCGAGGCTGTGAGTGTGAGCGAGGGTCCCGTGGTGAGGATGAGGCTGTGAGTGTGAGTGAGGGTCCCGTGGTGAGGATGAGGCTGTGAGTGTGAGCGAGGGTCCCGTGGTGAGGATGAGGCTGTGAGTGTGAGCGAGGGTCCCGTGGTGAGGATGAGGCTGTGAGTGTGAGCGAGGGTCCCGTGGTGGGGATGAGGCTGTGAGTGTGAGCGAGGGTCCCGTGGTGGGGATGAGGCTGTGAGTGTGAGTGAGCGTCCCGTGGTGAGGATGAGGCTGTGAGTGTGAGCGAGGGTCCTGTTTTGGGGGATGAGGCTGACATCGTGCCTGAGGGCTCCTGTGGGGTGCATAGAGCAGGTCCACCCTTCCCTCCTGCCATTGGTGATGTGGAGGCTGAGCGAGCCCTGGGCTGAGCCAGGTCACATGTGCTTCAAGGATCCGTGAGCTCATCCTCATTCCCTCAACAGTCATTGTGGTGCCTTTACTATGTGGCAGTGCCAGGGCAACCAGAGCCAGGAGGAGTTGAAAGAGGCTGGTGAGGCTTCAGGGTCACCCCAATGAGCTCTATGCACGGATGGGTGCAGGAAAGGCCCTGTAACTCCTGGAGAGAGACGTGCAAGGGGATGGGAAAGGGCGAGGTGTTAAGGAAGGCCGTGCAAAGCCGCTGAGCTGGAATGAGCAAGGCGTCCTGGAGGAGGTGGGCGGCCTGAGCTCTGAAGGATGCGTAGGAGCTGCTGGCTGGAAGGGTGTGGAGGTCAGAACCAGTGTGACCTGCCCATCACTGGTCCTCTCTAGCTCATTCAACCGAAATGGACTCCCTGAGCTGAGAGGAAAGGTGCCTGTGAGGAGCTGGGTGGCAGCCCCCAGGAGAGCGGAGCCCCCAGCACAGCCCAGAGCCGTAGACTCAGTGAGTCTAGCTGGGGAGACAGGAGGGGGGCCAAAATGAGGACACAGGTCACCAAAATCCTGGCCCAGGCCCTGCCACTGCCTGGCTCAGTGACCTGCCTCCCTGAGCCTCAGTTTCCCCCATCTGTGAAATGGAGTGAGGAGGACCCACCTCCCTGAGCTGCTATAGAGAATTGGGTCAGAGCCTGGAGGTGCTGGGAAGCAGCCTCCCTGAGCCTCAGTTTCCCTGGCTGGGGAATGAGGACCTTGCTAGTCCCCCCTCATAAGGAGGAGCTGTCAGGAAAGTGCTTTGAACACTGAGCCATCTCCCAGTGGTGCACAGTTAGCTTTCCAGAGGATTCTGGTGGATTCCTGGAGCTGAGTGCTGGGGATCGGTGGAGCTGGTTAAGCTGGGAAGGTGCACTTGGTGGGTGTGAATGAGTCAGCGCCGTGAGTCACATCCCCCAGGGCTCTGCGGGTCCCGGGGACCACTCAACAGGAGAAGACACCATGTGGGCTTTGTTTCACTTTCAGGCTTCAAAACTGCACTGAGTTATGACTGTGCATGAGCATTCAGTATGCGCGCATCTAATACGTGTGCCGATTACGCATGCTGCGTGAGATCACCGTGAAGTCAAGAGAATGTGATGATTTACATGTGATCAAAGTGGCGTACAAAGCAGCTGTCAATCTTAAAAGTAATTTTAAATGATCTTTATTGATCTTTTTTGTAAGATTATAAGTGGATACATGCTCCTGGGAGCCATTCCAACGATACTGAAAAGCACCAGATAAGGGCACAGCCCTCAGCTCCCCTCACCCAGTGCGAATGGCGCAAGCCCCCGGACACCCGCCTTCCCACCGCTCCCTGTGCCACGTCGGCTTCACAGACTGGGCCTGGACCTGGCCTGACTCGTGGCCTCAGGACTGGCATTTTGTTTTCAGGGAAGTTGGTCATGGATGGCCAGGCACACCGCTGCCATCTCCCTGGGTACCTATCGGCCTTGGTAGCTCCGATGCCCTCCTAGAAGAGGCTGGGGATGGCTGCAGACCGGGGGGCCACCAAGGAGCCAGGGGCCTGAGAGTCACCGTGTGTGTGTGGGTGTGTGTGTGTGTGTGTGTGGAGGGGTGAGGTGGGGTGTCTCTGTGTCATGGAGCTGAGGACAACGTCCAGAAACGGCCCCAGCCCAGGGTCAGGGAGCCCCTTGAGGACTGGCTTGTCTCTGCCTTCATGCTCTGTTATGCTCGTGGTGTTAAGAGGAGGGAGGGAGGGAGGGAGGGAGGGAAGAGCCTGGCTGGGGCCCTGAAAGGTCTCTCGTCCAAGAGATGCTCCTAACAGCCCTTGGGGCCGGATATTGTAGGTCTGCCCCTTTGACAGATGAGAAAATGGAGTCTCAGAGAGGGGAGAAGTGAGACTGGTGAACCACAGAGCCACACTTGGGCCAGGCTGGCGTGGGCCTGTGGTTCCCAAGACAGCATCCTCCCTGGGGTGGGAGCGTCTCTGTGAGGTGTCCGCAGGGGTGTGGGTGGTCGGGGTTGAGAAGCAGGTCCTTCTTCCAACCCACATGGCTCAGAGGACATTCTGTGCAGGGTGTGGCCCTGCGGGCCTGAGGGAGGGGCAGATCAGTCCCTGGGCTCTATGAAGGCACAGGTCACTGAAAGGGCATTGGTTTTCTCAGCTGGAAGACCCTTGGGCCACCCTCACTGTCCTCGCCTCGCCCTGAAATCCTGATCTAAGGCCAGTCCTTCTCTTCCAGGGGACGGTTACTACCTGGCCGTGGGTGGGGCTGTGGCCCAGCACAACTGGTCCCACATCACCACGGTTCTGCAGGACCGGAAGTTCCGGTGCCAGCTCATCGACAGCTCCGAGGACCTGGGCATGATCAGCATCCAGGGCCCAGCCAGGTGAGAGGACAGGGAGCCCGCGCCTGGGCGCACCTGCTTCCTGGACCCAGGCCCTCCCACGGGCCCTTGGGCAGAACTGCTTGTCCAGAACGGGGCATTCTGAATAGTTAACTGCTCTGGTAAACCCAGAGATGCCACTCTGAATAAGCTACAAGGCCCTGAAATGCAGATAAGCCCCTAACACAAGTCAGACTGAACTTGACAGCTGATCAGTCACTGAGGACCCCAGGATCCCAGATGGGAGGGTGGTCTCATCGTCAGTGCGGTTGAGGAATTACTGCCCTCCCTCCCGGCGTGGGCAGAACGAGGCCAGGCTTCGCCCTGCCACCTGGGCAGAATAAATTCCTTCACTGATGGGTCCCTGGCTCCTTCCTAAACACCTCCCATGACAAGGTCTCCGTGTGGCTTATCCATACATGCATTCATTCCTTCTCCAAACACTTGCTGGCTGTGTTCCCGCCCATGAGAAAGCAGGAGCTGGGAAGACCTTCAGATGCTGCCTCATGCACTCGGCCACTGAAGGGTCTTGGGCAAACAGACGGCTGAGCAGGTGTGCGCCTTGGAAAGAGCCCTCTGACTGTGTTTCGGAGAAGGGACTGGGGTGGGGGACACAGGGAAAGGGCAGTTGTGTCAGCAGCCACCAACGGAGCTCCTGTGACCTGCCAAGCCTGAGCCGACATCTCCTGTCTCCATAGTAGCCCTTTGAGGTGGTCATAATTGTTCTTATTTTTACTGATGCAGAAACTGAGGAATGGAGAGGTAGAGACACTTGCCCATGGGTACACAGCTGGTCAGTGCCAGGGCTGATGGGGATGCAGCCCCTTGGGCTCTGAAGCCCACACACGCCGCTCACTGCTACCCTCTTTCAAGAGTTAAAAGCCCTCTATGAGAAGATGGCCTAGTCTAGGCCTTCCACTGTTGACACCCTGGGGCTCAGGGTCCAGGACACTTATCTCAGGGCACATCCTGCCATCACATCTGCCTTGGTGCTGGACGGGGTGGCTCTGCTGGACCCGGCAGGAGGAAGAGGCATGAGATGAGGGCGCTGCTTCTGGGGATGTGGAGGGTGTCACAGGGGTGATCTATCTCTGGAAAATGATGGAGGCAGCTTCGGGGAGAGGACAGGAAAGGAGAAGAGGAGAGGTGGGGAGGGCTGGGGCGGGGGGCGGGGAGCTGCGTCTTCAGCCTGAAGGTCGCCGAGGTGAGCACTTGGAGGTAGCACAGCTGTGTCCAGGTGACAGCCTGTCAGCCTGGGGTTCTGGCTGGAGTGCCCAGTCCCCGCCACGGGGTTCGCTTTCCCTGGCACCCCCCGCCAAGTCCTGGACCAGCGGCTCCCCTCTCGGGCTGTGAGTGACTGCGCTGTGGCTGTCCGTGCATGTGCGCTGCGGTGCTCAGAGGCACACGGTAGACGAGACAGTGCTGAACGAAAGGATGGAACGGGAGAGGCCGAGCTGGCTTCTGCCGAGGGTTTCACTTGAGGCCGCCCATAGAAATCAGCGTGCATTCAGGAGATGTTTGGGCAGAGCCCGGCAGGAGATGAGTGACCCAGCCTTGGCGCTCTCTCGGGGGACTGCTCCTGGCAGTGGCAACAGCAGGTGCAAAGGTCCCTTGGCAGGCAAGCGCCTGTTTGTCTGAGGCACGCATCGAGGCTGGGACAGAGCCTGGCAAGAGCCGTCTCAGAGGCAGCAGGGTGAGATCCCAGAGGCCCAGCGGCCGCCCCCCTGAGAGAGGGGTGCTGAGCAGAGCAGGAGCATGGTCGGCCTTGGGCTTTGGTGGGGAGTCTCTGCTGCTGGGCCAGCAGGCAGGGGGCCAACAGGCCTGTGAGGAGCCTCAGGCCAGGCAAGGCGGGGATGTCCAGGAGGGAGAATGACCTGAGTCCGTTCGGCTCATGGGCGAGGGTTTGGCATTGCGGTGGTTCCCATGGACTGGGTGAGGCTCATGGTGCCAGACAGCAGATGGGGTGTGCTGGGAGCCTCAGAGGGAGGGGAGGGGACAGAGACAGCTTCCATGTGCCTGAGGAGGAGTGGAGAGTACCGGTGCCGTGACGGGGAAGGGGCTGGGGTACGGCGGAATCATGCAGCCCCCGCCTGGCCCACAGGCAGCCATGATGCTGGGTGCTTTTCATTCCTCGCCTGGGTGACCCCAACCTCTGCATCGCTGGGGTGGAGGGAGGGGTGTCAAGGCCCAGCCCTTGGAATCTTCTGGCTTCATCGCCACGCCAGCCTTGGACAGGGAGTGGGGCTATTTTTAGTGTGGGGGAGGCAGGTGGGCTGTGAGGGAGGGGGGACAGACAGATCAAGGTACGGCCAGGGGCGCCCAGCCTCATTATAAGATGCTCCAGGCGGCAGCGGGCGAGGCAGCCAGGGCGGGAGAGGAGCTCACTGCCTCCTGGTAATTTCTTAACTTTCTCCTCCAAAATGTCCTCTAGCTTTCAAATATAACCCCAAGTTTTCTTAGATGAATAGCAACACTGGTGCTGCCGATGAGGGCTGCACTTTGGAGCTGTTATTCGGGACGTGCTCAGCATGCCTGCTGCACCAGGGAGCAGGGCCTGTGCGAGCTGCTGCCCCATGGAACTTTCTGGAAATGTTCCATAACTGAGCGGTCCAACAGGCAGCCACTGAGCCCTGTGTGGCCACTGAGCCTTTGTAATGTGGCTAGTGGGACTGCATTTTTAAGACTAGTGAATGTGAACTCAAACAGCCTCACGTGCTAGTGGAGGCTGGGCATGGAGGCTCATGCCTGCAACCCCAGCACTTTCGGAGGACAAGGCATAAGATCACTGGAGTCTGGGAGTTCGAGACCAGCCTGAGCAACATCGCAAGACCCTGTCTTAAAAGCAATTTTTTTTTCCATTAGCTGGGCATGGTGGTGTATACCTGTAGTCCCGGCTACTCGGGAGCTCATGGCAGGAAGATCGCTTGAGCCCAGGAGGTCAAGGCTGCAGTGAGCTGTGATTGTGCCACTACACTCAAGCCTGGGTGACAGAGCATGACCTTGTCTCAAACCAAAATGAAACAAAACAAACCAAAACCAACATCCTTGCGTGGCTGGGAGAGATGGTGTCGTGCCGTCCAGAGGTGGCCCTCGCTGTGGCCATGGTTCACACCAGGGGCTGTGCGTGTGCTTTCTTGCTGGCTCCTTGCAGCGGCCCGTGGCCCCGCAGGTGAGGGACTGGGGCTTAGAAGGCGTGGGGGTGAGGACGGAGCCTGGGACTAGAACTGGGGCCTCTGACTGGGACGCTCAGGCTGGGCTTCCCCTGAGGTTGCTGAGCCCACAGCCTGGGTCAGAGCCCTTCAAAGCCTTGGACCAGGTGGCAGCTCCAGGCTTCTGGCCCAGGTCCCTTCTGTGTGGCTGCAGACAGCATGTGCTCCTCAGGTCTGGAGGCGCTGCTGTCGCTCTCCAGGGCTTGGCACCACGTGGGTGCTAGGTGGTTACGTAAGGGTTTTGGCCAACTGTACCACGGCTGAGCACCTCAGGCTGACGTGGGTGGCGGCTCCCAGCACGATGACGATCGGGATTAGGGGCAGCAGCACTTCTGGGTAGCCCACCCTGCAGTCTCAACACCTGCTGGGACCCCAGAGGGGCGGAAGTGGGGGACCATCTCCTAGCAATAGGGGCCTCACCCTGCTGTGCCAAGCCAGGGTGTTCACAGTCAGTCCTATTTACCAAGAGCCTTCTATGTGCCAGGCACATTGGGATGGGGGACTCTGTTGGCAAGGAGCTCCTGGGGGTGGGTGCATTGGGGGAGGGTACAACCAATGTGAGAGACACCCTGGCAGGGGACTGTGGGACCTTGGACAAGAAGTACCTGACGAAGACCTAGGGAGTCAGGGAGGGCTTCCTGGAGGAGGTGACAGCTAAGCCAAGAGCTGAAGGATGATGAAGGGTTAAATGGGGACAGGGGAAGGGGTGAGAATGTGGAAGGGCAGAAGAGGGCTAGACCTGGAGAGGTCAAATGGGCACAGTGCCCAGGAGGTGAAGGCTTCCTTGAAGACTGGGTGCCAGCTCCAGTGAGGTCTCTGGTACTTGGGCAAGTGTGAGGGTGGATATGATGCCGGGCACCGTGGAGCAGGGGAAGTGGGGAGTGAACCCTCGCCCTTGCAGAGCTTATAAACTAGGGGTGGACCCAGCAAGTCTGTGCAAACTGTCGAGTATGGACTGAGCGTCCAGTGCTCAGGAACATTCCTGGGCCCCTACAGCCCTCGGGTGCGGCCCTGCCCTTGGTAGGTGACAGTCCCCTAGGAGGTGGCAATGGCTCTGTCCCCTCAGGTAGGTGACGGTCCCCTAGGAGGTCAAAATGGCTCTTAGCACCTGCTGGGTGCCAAGCCCAGCTCTCTGCCCCTCCAAGTCTGCAGCCTCAGCGTCTCATACCCACGACAGACAGGACCTGGGGGCCGAGGTGCCTGGTTGGAGGGTTAGGTTGGGGTGCAGAGCGGGGTGCTGTCTGGGAAGAGCCCCTTCTGCTGGGGGCTGGGAGGAGGCTGGACTCTGCTCCTGTCCGCCTCTGCTGAGGGCAGGTCTGCTCTTCTGTGCAGCACTGAGGCCTCCAGAGCCAGCCCCCTTCTTGGCCGTGGTTACTGAAGCAGACCTGGGGCCCTCTGGCCTCTGAGGAGTTGGGAACCTGGAGGGGCCTGGGGTTGTGGATTGCGGACCTGGCCCAGACGCTCTGCTCCTCCTGGCCTGCGGGCTTCAGGGGCATTCTCTAGGTAGATAGCCACTCCAGTCTCAGTGCCCCACTTAAGACTCGAGGGTCTCAACAGGAGCTGTCTCCAGGTCTGGTCTCCCTCCCCCAGCGGTTCTGCTGGCCCCGGTGTTACCCCGCTGGAAGGTGACTGTCTGTGTATTTGGAGTGTTCATCTGTCTTGGTGTATTTTTTACTAATCCATGTATGCTGCCATCTGCCCCGTGATGACAGGGACTTGTTCCATTCATGGTGGGTCCCCGGGGCCTTTCCTGCCCAGTCCCCCCGTGAGCACTTGCTGACTGACCGACTTTGCTCTTGCCTGCAGCCGGGCCATTTTGCAGGAGGTGCTGGATGCAGACCTGAGCAACGAGGCCTTCCCCTTCTCCACCCACAAGCTGGTGACAGCCACCGGGCACCTGGTAGGTTCCAGCTGGCCACATCCTCCTAGTTGTGGGTGGCAGCATGCTGTGAGGGGCACACTGGGGGATCTGGGGGCCGGGGGATCTCAGGCAGGTTCCTTTACCCCCCAGGGCCTTGGTCCCCAACTATGAAGGGGGACAGTGGGACGAGGCGACCCTCCCACAGGCTGGTGGGAGCACGGAGAGGCCGTGGGGACCAAAGTCACAGCATCTTCCATTCCTCCCCGTGCCTGGTGCGTGCCAGGGACTCAGTCCCAGGGAAGGCGGCCATGCCTCACTGCCTGCATTACCATTTATTGTGTCCCCTTCTGAAAGGCACGGGGCAGCCCTCCTGAGGTGGAGTGACCCCCTGGAAACAGGAGGGCCCGGCTTGGCTAAGCAGTACCTGGCTCCAGAGCACTCCGTGTGGCAGCCCCCCAGCTGCTCTCGTGGGTGTGGAGGAGGGGCTGCTCAGGCGGGAGCACAGCCAGTTCCTGAAGAGCACCCCATACACTAAGGAGCACCCCACACATTCCCCGCCAGCATGAGAAAGTCCCTATCCGGGGGGCCAGGGCCTGTGCCTTCTGAGATGGTGGCGGTGTCAGGTGCCAGGACTCTGTGGGACCCAGCCCTAGGCAGGAGGCTCCCTCGGAGACCAGGGCTGGGGCCCAGGTTCTATTCCGGGCCAGCACGTCCCTCTTCTGGGCTTCATTTCCTTGTTGGAAAACAGGCATTTCAGCATCTGCTTTGACTTCTCGAGGCTGAGATGAGGTGTTATTGGTAAGCATAGCAGCCCGTTTGCCAGGGACCTCCTGTGTGCCGGGGACCTCCTGTGTGCCAGACGCTCTTCCGAGAACATCGCAGCACATCTCCCCATGCAATCCGCACCGCAGCGTGCAAGGCTCTGTTACAGGGTCTCCTGACCTCAGCACACCTGACATTCTGGAACAGATCTTTTCTGCTGTGGAGCCCTCCTGTGCGACGCAGCTGTGTGGCAGCCTCTTGGCTGCTGCCCGCTTGGTGCCAGTGGCACCCACTGTTGTGACAGCCATAAGTGTGTCCAGATGTGGCCAAGTGTCTGCTGGGGGCAGGATTGCCCGATGAGAACCTCGGTGCATGACCACCCTGCTTATTTGCAGGAGTGTAAGCCATGGGCAGCCAGGACCGGGGCCTGCAGAGCCCTCCACGGTTCGGGCTGAGGAGACACTGTCCTGCGTGGTGGATGTTGCCCAGATGGAGCTCAGAGGGGCTGGATGGGCCCGGCTGTGCAGGGCCACCTGGCTAAAGAAACCCAGAAAGCCCCTGAAATGTGTCAGTGACACGGATGTGGCCTTCAGGAGGGGTGGGCGGGTGCATGGCCGCATTTGGAGACAGCTCCCCGTCTCTCCTTCCTGTATGCTCATCTGGGGTTCGGGTGGGGAAAATGCTGAGGAGGTTGGGGAGGAGCGAGATCCTGGCCTGCAGAAGGACTGGAGGTCCTGGGGGACAAATCTGGGTTCTGTTAGCAGATAAACAACGTGGCGATGACTGTCAGAGAAGAGAAGGCCTGAGACCAGGGACATCCCGGCGGCTCTGCGCCCACCTCTCCTCTCCAGAGGCTGCACGGGGCCAGGAAGCAGGGCCGGCCGTGTCTAGCTCGCTTCCTGCCTCTGCGGTGCAAAGCTGCCTACTGGGACCAGAGAGGGTGGGCTCTTAGAGAGAGCAGCACAGCTGCAGCCAGGCCACATGGTCTCCAGACGGCTCGACTCCAGCTCCAGCAGGCCGGCTGTGGGGCCCACACAGCATCCAGCCTTGTCTGGGGCTGGGCTCTGGTTTGCAGAAGGGGAGGGAGCTGCGCGTTCTCCCCTCTTGCTGAGGCTTGGCATAGGTGCTGCCTCTGTGTGGTTTGGCTGCAGGAGGGGGAGACCACCAGGTGGGAACACGTCCCCTGTCGTCTGAGGCCCAGCAGCCTGGCCTCCCACCCGCAGTCACTGCAGCAAGCGGCCGGGGCTTGTTCTGAGACAGACTGGACAGGCGGCTCCTGCTGCCTGCCCTCCCCTTACGTCCTCTGGGGCTAGCCCTTTCCTGGCCCTGGTGGCTTCCCCAGGCCTGGGCAATGGCTGCCTGGGGTCACCTCCATCTCTGTGGCCTGGAAACCAGGCCAGGCCACGTGTTTGCTGAGCTGACACAAAGACAGACCCTGCTTCCAGGATGACGCTCCCTGGAGGAACAGGCCAGGCCAGACACAGCGTGGGGGTGCAGGGGTGCAGGGACGGACACAGGGGCCGCTTGTCCCCACAGTCTCCTGCTTACTGGTGTAAAAAGCACGTGATGGCTGTATGTATAAATACTGCTCATGGCTCAGTTTCCCACCGTAACAGCACGTGGGTTCTAGGGCCCGAGGGCCAGCCTCGCTTCTAGCAAGCCCACCTTGGGCACGGCACTCGGCCCCTCAGAACAAGGATGTTGGGTCTGTAGGTCTCTGGGCTGCTGCACGAAGCTCGTCTGGCCGGGACACGGTGGTCAGCGGCATCTCAGAGGACTGTTGGGGACGCTCATAGCCTGCCAACGAGTTAACAAAAACACTCTAATCCCATCCCCGGGAAACCGCAGTTGACAGTGGAGTGTATCGTCTGCCATCTTTCCGTCATCTGTCATCTTTCCGTCGTCTGTCTAGCTGTGGATTTTAAAACGTACTCTGGGTGTCCCGTGCCGTTGTACACGTGGCTTTATTCCCCCGAGTGTTGAGGCTGTTCTGTCCTTTGAACGTTCCCGAAGCACCACTTGGAAGGCCCTCAGCTGCGTCACCCGCGCCCTGAGCGTGGATTTCACGCCGGGTCCACCTCTTTGCTTTGGAAGTGGCCCCTGGAGGAGCTTCCCCTGAACACCATCCTCCCAATAGACCCAGACTATTGGGCTGAGAGGGAGGAGAGCTGGGCCCCCCAGGTCAGGGGTGTGTGTGGCTGGCGGCCCCACCTCGCGGGCCTCTGTGTGCCGTGTTCTTCTCTGTCCTTGGGCATTTCTGTGCCCCTCGCTTGCCCAGCGTTGCCCTAGGTCTCAGGTGGCGTGGGAGAGCAGCGCAGAGCTTTCTAGGCCGGGGTCCCTGCCTGTGGGATGGGTGGGAGGGGAAACAGGGGAGGCGGGACGTGTCAGCTGGCGTGCGGATTGTGGGGACCCAGGGAAACAGGTGGTGGGGAGGTGCCGTGCGTGCATAAGGAGGCCCAGCTGCCTGGAAACAGGCTGCCTGCTGGCCGTGGGGGGTCTCCGTGGCGTACCTCCGTGGTCACCGTCGGCTCACGAGGGGCCACTTGGGACTCTCAGCCAGGCACTAGCGTTTCACCAAACTAAGGGACGCGTTCCAAGTGCAGTGCTGCTCGCCCGGTCCCTCCGCTGGCGCTCGGGGGCTCTGGAGTGGACTCTGGGCATGCTGCCTGGGAGCCTGCTGGCTGCCGGATGAGGGTCCCGGGATGGAAGATGTGGCTTCTGCCCTCGGTGGGCTCAGACCCCGAGTGAGGCTGGGGCCCAGGAAGGGACCTGCAGCCACAGCCCAGCCTGTACTGCCGAGAGGTCCTGGGCAGGGTGAGTGATAACCACAGGCCAAGGAGTTCTTAGGGAACCGAGAATCCTGCAAAGGTGGCCACAGAGAACTGAGTGCTGGCAAGAGACAGACAGGGTGGGGCGAGACCCAGGTGTCTCGCCTTTCGGCTGGGAACAAAGTGTGGGCTGTGTTGGGGGGGCTCTGCCCTGGGACTGACCCCAGTGGCCTGTGGATGAGCCAGGAGACAGCCACATCGGCTGTCCCGCTCCACTCGCCACCCACCAGCACTCTCCCGGTCCCTGCGGTCCCCATGCCAACACCTCCCAGCCCTGTGACAGGACCAGGGCAGCAGATGCCCCCGATGCTGAGGGCAGTCTTCTGTCTCCCCACAGCACTGGCTGTTGGCATGGACAAGCTCCCAGCCGGGGACAGCCGGTGCCCCAGGGCCACTCTCCTTAGGAGGACACATGGCGTTACAGCACACAGATTTACTGTCACCTCGGCTAAGTGGCTGGTTCTGTGGGGTCCCTCCCATGCTCATGTTCTTGGAGTCCATGGGGCCCACTGGGGGCAGGCTGGGGGTGATCTGGGGTTAACCGTCTTTACCTAGAGACCCTGGTGCCCAGCACTGACTGCAGCCCACTGGCTCCTCATTGGCCGTCTCCCTCCTTGTCCTCCCTGTGGCTCTCCGGAGTGGCCAGGGTGGGCCTGGCGGTCAGGGCTGCATGTGTCTGGAGGACCACTCCTGCCCTCGGGGCTTGAAGTTGGGTGGCCGGTGGGTCCAGCTCCCATGAGAAGGGGCCGGGACTTGAGGAGTGGGCACCACTGAGGGTGTGGAAGACGGAGCAGTGGCAGATCCCGTCCTCAGGGACCGCTGCCTTCTCTCGAGAGCCCTGGGGAGGTGGGGCCAGGAGAGCAGAGGTGTTGGGTCCTTGGTGTCAATGTTATGGTTTTTGCTGACCTGGGAACTGTCCCTCAAAGCGGCCAGGGCCACACATTCCCAGGTAGCCCCAGCCTGGGAGACAGTGGCTTCCCCATTTTCTGGCCATCGAGATGGGTGGGGGTTCAGCCACTGGCCACAGCCAGCTCCCCCTGTGGGGCCTCACAGGCAGGTGGGTGATGGGAGTTGGGTTAGCCACAGACACTGGGAGATTTGGGACCGAAGCTTCCGTGTGACCCTGAAGGCTCTGTGGAGCTCAGGCCGGACACCTGGCCTCCCGTCCTGCCCCGGCCATCTGTGGGGCGCCTCTCTGGGCCTCAGTGTCCCCACCTATAGCACGAAGTCTAGCACAATGTGTAAAATTCTTTCCGGGTCATTCCGTAAGTCTACCCAGACATTCTGGAGTCTCTGAATCCAGGGAGAATTTCATTCTCCTAAATAATATCTTGTGCTGGCTTAAAAATGTGTTGATGACATATCCCTCAACGTGAAGCAACGCTGGGCTGGAGCTCGGGGCCGAGCCCAGAATGTACAGGCGATCGGTTGGATCCCAGCCAGGCAGAT